GACATTTTCTAAATATTTCACTTGCTTCCTAAACCTGATCCTCCTGTGCTGTTTCACATCTTTGTTAATAGCACCAACATCATCCAACCAGAAAAACCAGAAATCTAGGAATTATTGGAGATACAGAAATGGGTATGACATAACTTTACCACCGAAAAATAGTCAATCTCATAGAGTGCATATACGTAAATTTCCCCCTCTTCTTAAAACCAACAATAAATTCTCTTTGGAACACTTGTGTGGAAGTTAGAATTCTGCTTTTTGATAAGAATAGGAATTCTTTTTTTTTTTTTATAAACTTGTCAATTAAATTCTGAGATTCTTTGGAACTATGTAGGGAAGGACATACACATATATTTTATTCATTACTATAGTTCCCCAAACCCTGGTATGGAATGCAGTTGATTTTCAACAAACGTATGTTGAATGTATACATGAATGAGTGACAATGAAACAATAAAGAGAGTGAAAAGTGACATGGAAACAGGCATACATAAATAGCTATGGGATTATAAAATGGAAAAATTATTTTCAGCTGGGAAGAACAGGGAACATTTTATGAGGTAGAATTTGTTCTAAAGGAAGAGGAGGGGACATACCAGGGAGAGGGAACTCATAAAAAACAAACCAAAAAAAAAAGAGAGAGGAGAGAGTGATAGAATATGTAAGAAAATAAAGTTAATTTTTTCAGACTATTGAGTATTCAAATTACAGAAAAAGTGAATAAAATTAAAGATAAGATACCATGATAAATAGATGAACACTTTTTTTAAACTAGAAGATATATTACACTTCCTCATATAAAATTGTTAATATTATTCTTTAGGTCACTTTTTATGCTTTTTACTATGGAAAATTACAATCATAGAATATACAATGATACCTTGCACCCATACCTAGCCTCAAAAGTGCTAATTCAGGCTATGTCTTACATCATCTGTACCCACTCACTACACCCCGAGATTATTTTTAAGCAAATCACAGACATTATACACTTTCATTTGTAAATATTTCTGTGTATCTTTAAATGACAAGACCCCTTCTGCATGCATAACTATAGTGCCATTATCACAACTTAAAATGAAATAATAATTCATTGATATCATTAATATTCTGTGTTCAGATTTCCCTGATTTTCTCATAACTTGTTTTACAGTTTGTTTGAAAAAAAAAAAAGATCCAACTAAGGTCTCTATTTTGCAATTGGTTGGTTGTTATATTGTTATATATCTTAAATCTCAATCTCTCTCTCTCCTTCTCTCTCTCTCTCTCTCTCTCTCTCTCTCTCTCTCTCTCTCTCTCATTTTTTCTTTACTCTCTCATTTTTTCTCTTTTCTCTCCATCCTCTCCTTCTTTCCCTCTCTCCCTTTTTCTTAATCATTTTATTACAAAATATAACATGTAGAATACAAACACACAAAGCATATGCTTGAGTTAGTGAACTATTGTAAAGCAAACGCCTTTGTAACCACCACTGAGGTCCAGGAATAGAACGTTGCCAGTCACCTCTGAAAGCCATCCACGTGCCCTGTGTCAATCCCAGCTATTTTACTACCCCCTAAAGTAGCCACTATCTATAGTTTCATAGTAAAATCACTTCCTTGTTTTCATTCAAATTTTATCACCTATATGTGCATCCTTAGACACTATAGTCACATCCATTTTTAAATGTCTTTTATGTTTCTTTTAATCTATACATTCCTACACCATGCCTTTATTTTTCTTAGTGTATCTGTTGAATAACTGAAGGCATTTGATATATATATATATATATATATATATATATATATATATATATATATATATATATATATATATATATATATAGTTTTCCACAGTCTTGATTTTGCTTATTGCAAACTCATGGTGCAGATCAATACATTCCTCTGTTCTCTATATTTCCTGCAAAATAGCAGCAGGATCCGAAGGTCAATCAAACTCAGGTTTATTCCACTTGACACAATTATATGTGATACTGTGTTCTTTCTTCAGAAGGAATATGTCTGGCTGTTACTCTTCTGGTAATGTTAGCTGTCATTGATGCTTAATGCTTAGACTTCTTAAGTCATTAGAGGCTGCAAAGTGATTATATGCTTTTATGAAAACATACTTCTTTACACTATTTTGTAACACAGTGTACATTTCTGGTAAGAAAGCAGAATACTACTTGTTTTTTTCCCTTTATTTACCAATTTTCAACATAACAAATTCATTTTCTATCCTCAATTAAATGTGGCCAATTAATAGCCACATTTTGAAATAGCATTGTGAACATATGGACTTAAATTTAATTAATGAGATTTGACCCGTTGCTCTAATCACCTTACTGAAATTCAAATTGTTCCATTTTTCGCAAAAGGAAATCTCTTGAAGATAGCTCCTAAGTCATTTCACTAATAACATACACAGAGAAAAAAGCTAAAATTTTCAACTATGATTATGGAATTGTCTATTTCTTCATTTAATTCTGTTAATTTTTGCTTCATGCATTTTAAAACACTGTTATTAGGCACATTCACTTTTATTATCTTTATTCATTCCTGATAAATTTACACTTTTACTATTCTGAAAAGTCCTCTTTATCTCTGAAAATACTCATTGTCTTAAAGTCTACTTTATATGATTTTGGTATATCCATTCTACCCTTCTTATTTTTATTCATCATTTATTCCTAATTTAATTTTTTTCTCCTTCCCACTTTCTATTAACCTTAAGGTATTATTTATTGTATTAATTTGCTGTTCTGTTCCTCTTAGTTTAGCTTCATTTCTACAATGACTTACTTTCCCCTTTCTAAGATTTTACTGAGTTTTATAATTTCTGGACTTTTCTAATTCTTTTTTATTTATGATATTCTTTCTCATCTTGTATCATTTCTTAATGTTGTTTAGTTCATTTTTGAAATGGACAATATGCCCTTTTACATCTTTTTTTTCCCTATAGAATGTTATTCTGCTTCTTATTCATTTTCTTATAATTTTGAATGGAATTTTACCTTGATTATGCTTGCTGCTCAATTTTTATGTGAAACTATTATATATATATATATATATATATATATATATATATATATATATATATATGCAAATTTTTGTCTGAGCTTTACAACCTGGAAAGATTTTCTAACTTCACTGAGATTCCTCTTCAAAACCATAGTCTTGAGATCTCCTAACTCTCTTCCGCTCCTTCTCTGTTCTGCTCCTCCGGTCCTTCTCTTCTTTTCCTCTTCATTGACTTGATCTTGTTTACTTTCGATTCCACTCCCAGACATTTCTCCTCAGTGTGGGTGGTTATTTTTCAGAGTTCTGAGGCACTAGAATCATTCCAACCCCTTCAGAATTTCTTGAGATCCATCCATGTTGTCACAAATGGCAGTATTTTATCTTTTCTTATGGCCGAGTAGTATTCCATTGTATGTATGTACCACATCTTCTTTATCCAGTCATCTATCAAAGGACACTTCAGTTGTTCCCATGTCTTGGCCACCCTGAATAATGTTCCAATGAACATAGGGGTACATGTATCTTTACAGATAAATGTTTTCAGATTTGGGGGATAGATACCCACAAGAGGGATTGCTGGGTTGTATGGTAATTCTAGTCTTAATTTTTTTGAGGACATTCCATACCATTTTCCATTGCGGCTGCACCCATTTACATTCCCACCAGCAGTGTATAAAGGTTCCTTTTTCTCCACAACCTCTCCATCACTTGTTATTACTTGTCTTGTTGATAGTAGCCATTCTATCAGGTGTGAAGTGGTATCTCATTGTGGTTTTGATTTGCATTTCCCTAATAGCTAGTGAAATTGAGTATCTTTTCATATATCTGTTGGCCATTTGTATGTGTTCTAGGGAGAAGTGTCTGTTCAGGTTCTCTGCCCATTTTTATTTCACTCATATGTGGGATATAAAATTGAAAGCAACAAATGAACAAGACAAACAAACATACAAAAACTCATAGACACAGACACTGGTTTAGTGGTTACCAGAGGGTAGAAAGGAAGAGGAAGAGGCAGAAGAGGGGATAGGGGGTCAGATACATAGTGATGGAAGGAGTTTTGACTTTGGGAGGTGAACATACAATTCAATATATGAATGATGTTTTGTGAAATTGTACATTTGAAACCTATATAATTTTATTAACCAATGTCACTCCAATAAGTTTAATTTAAAAAAAAAAGAATTTCCTCGACTCATCCTCTATTAGAGAGCAAAACCCTTCCCAATTTCAGCTGCTATTTTCAAATTGGCCCACCATAGTTTCCAGTGAGTTGGCTATTTTTGGGTTCTGTTTTCAAGTCTGCCAGATACCACACTACTTCTCTCTACTTCCTTCCCTATTGACACTGGTTTTATACGGATTGTGTTTCTGGTTTGTCTTAATTGTTTAATTGAAAGCGATTCTTGTGGATAACTTGTAACTGAGTTTTGCTTTACATGTTGTGTAGTTTTTGGCTTTGATTTATGTGAACATTTGAAGAGATTAAAAAAAAATACTTTGTTGTTGCCACATGTGCCACCTTCCAACACTTTTTTTTTTTTTTTATTGAACACTTCCCAAATCCCTCAGATGTAGAAGATACCACAGATGGATTACGACCACAACTGAGGGCAAACATGAAAACACATATAAGTAATAAAATATAGTACTGAGTAGTCAAGGAGTTGAAATTCACCAGATGAATTAGCAGCTTCTGATTTCACTGAACAGTGAGTAGAAGTGGCCAACATTTCTTAAATTGTATTTCATAGAAAGTTAATAGAAATAAGGTAGTTCTAGTAGTCCAGTGAATGTAATTTAAGAAATGGTAGGCTGAGGCAAAGCGTTCTCCACCATTTCCTTTAAAATGTTACAAGGTGAGGAAGCAGTAAAAGATTTGTATAAAGTCACTAAGGAAGACATTAAAAAATCTGATGAGAAAAATCTCAGATTCTACATTAATTCAGCAAATAAGTATTGCCATGTTAAGGAGGATAAAATGTCCTCTAGTTTGCTTACCATATACCAAGTGACGGTTGGTTTGACACTGGAAGGAAAAAATCCATCTACATTTGGACAAGTGATCTTCTGAACAGCAATTTCAAGATATAGTCTATGCACTGGTGGTTTCATGGGAGAATTGAAGCAGCTATCTTTTTGAACAACTTCCAGAGGAAATGCAACTTTGCTGCAATATGTGGTGTTCCTGAAAAAAAGAAATAAGCAATGAATGGGCAGTCTCATTTGCATTTGTTTTAATGCCATAAATTCACTAAAATGAGCTAAGCGAAGTAATGCTATGTGTTGAGACTTTATTTATATGTATAGGTCTATGTAAGAATTAAATGTGCTATAGAGGTATTTCCTATACTTAATGACATCACAGAATAAAAACAGATGCAATTAACTACAGTTGATATACAAAAATATTTATATTTTTAGAAATGCTCTTAAACATGTATATGTGTTTGTATGTATATATGTGTATACATATACATATATACATACACACACATACATACACTGGGGGTGCAAAAAATATATATACACATGACTTGTATTCATCTTTTGTTATAGGTATATATTTAGTATTATAATTTTTGTAAACAGTTTTATTGGGGAACAGTGTGTTTTTCCAGGACCCATTAGATCCAAGTGAAGTAGTTGTTTCAATCTAGTTGTGGAGGGCGCATCTCAGTGACCCATGTGGGGATCGAACCAGCAACCCTGGTGTTATGAACACTGCACTCTAACCAACTGAGCTAACCAGCCATCCAGTATTTCAATTTTAATACAGTTTTTTCTCCTTTCTTAAAATGTGTATACATTTTTTGGCACCGTGTGTGTGTGTGTGTGTGTGTGTGTGTGTGTGTGTGTGTGTGTATCTCTCCTTACCCTTAAACATTCTCATTAATACTCAGAGCTGGTAAGGCAAAGATGAAAATAGTATATTAACTCATGGTTGATAATGGTGTAAACAACTTTTGGAAAATAGGTATGTTTCTAATGCCATTTTTTATAAAAAAAAACACCTTAGCTTTTGCCCTAGTGATCTTATCTCTGGACATTTTTTCACATGATAGAATTATGGAAAATTGGGAGTAGAAAGAGCATATGATCAAAACGCCCATCTAGGACTGCATCAGCAAGGAAAACATTGAAATCAATGGAAAAAACAAAACAAGAAAAAGAAAGAAGACTATAAGAAAATTATGGTACAACTGTTCAATGTTGTTCTTTTCACTTATAAAAGGAATCAAGCATGAAGGGAAAAAAATACTAACAAACACAGAAAACTTGTTAGGATGGCTGGAGAAGTGTATTTATGTTTCTAACGTTTGTGCATCTGCCTGAGGGGGTCCTTCTCCCATTATCACACCTTTCACAAGGAGGTATTCTATGCCATCCTGTATGCATCCCATATCTAAATTAGATCTCTCATTCTCTGAGCATCTTGGACATTTCCTTGATTAAATTTATCATAGTTCAAACAAAGGCATTACCGTGTGCGTTTTATTTTATTCCTTGCATCTAGTACACTGTCTGAACTCTCAGTAGGTGCCGAATAAATATTTGAAACTTGTTTATACATACAGGAAAACAATAACGGAAACAAAAATAATAAAAACAACTAATTTTTTTAGGGTGATAGATAAATGGGTCCACGTTTTTTATAGTTTCTATTTAAGGGATCAAACCACCTAGACACTCAATGGCTCATGAATTAAGTCTAAATACAATGAAAAGTGTAGGGGAATTTTCATCCCCTTCCCCAAGTTGGGAAGAGAGGGTACTTTAAAAATGACATAGGCCATAAGGTGGAAAGGGATAGTGGTAGATATGATCTCTACCAACAAATAGCAAAAGGTCTACCATGAAGAAGTATACTATAGGTGAAAGTTAAAGAAGGTACATGTCAGCTTAATCAGATACATGATCTGATTTTTTCAAAAAAGGTGATACACAGTGGTTGGGCTGACTTCTCCAATTCCAAAAGTCAAATCTGTACGTTATCTTAATTGATAGAGGTATTGAAGCAAAAATACAAGCAGTCAAATCCTGGAGAGTGAATTTGAATTTGACGGACTTAAAGACATCAGGCCTTTGATTTCACATGGTTCAGTTTAAGGTCATTCTCAGTTTAGGAATCACCTCAGGATATTGAGAAGCTTCTGGTGACCCCCACCAGACAAGCTCAATTTTATATTTTCTCTAGAGACATAGAAGGGCAGGCAGGTAAACTGAAGAGACCACCTGGAAATTGATAAATAACGTTAAAGGTATACTTAGGCCTTAACGGCCATGCAACCCTGCTCTTGTCATGTCGAAGATGATTAGAAAAGTTTGAGGAAGAGCTCTAGACAAGTAGTGGGTTGCTGAAGAAAAGGAAATGGAGACACAGAAGTACTAGAATGCATAGTAGAGACCAAGGTCATCCAGAAAGCTACTGATGACCCCTTCACAGGTATTGCTGATGTCCATGGAGAAATGTTAATGGATTAAAAATTGTCACAGATGAAAAGGAGTTTAAAGAGCATTTAAGCTGACTTTCTCATTGTGTGGATATAGACACGAAAGCTCTCAGACATGGACTGACTTGACCACTGTCACCAGCTAAGTAGTGACAGAGCTGGGATGATAGCCTAGGTTTTCTGTGTTCTCATCCAGTGCTCTTTCTATTGTAACCTTTTCTAACTTCTCCTACAAAGCAGTATTAAGATATAAATAATGGACACAGGAATATTTCAGCTTCCTTCAAAACCCACACACCAGTCTAGAGTCCATTTTAATAAACTTACGAGTCATGTGAAAGCCTCAGAAGGACTTTCAGAGGTTAAAAAGGACTCCCAAGGTCACAGTGATCAAAATGTGTTTCTGTGATAAAGAGGTCCTTGTTCATTTAATTATTACACAGTTTAACTTTATCAAAGCATCACCATTGTTCTCCATCAAAGAACAGATAACAGCCTTAAGTGACATGGAGCACGAGGAAGAAGGGCTGGGATCACCTATCATTATGTCCTGTTATTCTAAATTGCTGCATTGCTATGTTATTTAGCCCTATTGTTATGGGCTGAATTGTATCTTCTCCAAAGTCATATGTTAAAGCTGTAACTCCCAGCACCTCAGAATGGGACTGTACTTGGGGACAGGCCTTAAAGGAGGTAATGAAGGTAAAAGGACATCATATGGGTGGGCCCTAATCCAACAGCACTGATGTTCTTATAAAAAGAGGAAATTAGGACACAGAAGACATGGAGGGGAGACCATGTGAAGACAGGGAGAGAATACGGCCATCTGCAAACCAAGGAGAGATGCATTAAACCAACCCTGCCGACACCTTGCTCTTATAAGTCTAGCCTCCAGGACTGTGAAAAAACAAATTCTTGGTGTTTAAGCCACCCAGTCTGTGGTATTTTGTTATGGCAGCCTTAGAAAACCAATGCACTTATTAAATAGCAGGAAACTAAGTAAAAAAATAAAAAAAATCAGAGCAAAACCAACATTAATTGGTAGTAAAAGCAAAATAGATATATTGTGGCATAAAATGCAAAATCTATGTACATGAACTTCCATGGAAAAAAGTGGATTTGAAAGAAATTTTGCAGTAATGATAGGGTGCTTTGACTTATATTCTTATATTACCCAGGATATTTTATTCATTTGCTTCTTAGGGGGATTTTGGTAGAAAAGGTTGAAAAGCATTGTTCTAAATACATTCGATGCCTCCCAAATACCAAATAGTCTTTCTCCTATAACAGGCATCTCAAGGTTTGATTCTGTGTCACACTTGAAATGTGACAAGAATAACAGATAGGCATGGGTTCTACTCCCTGCTCCGCTTATGGTCTAGGGAACTATATGCCTCCAGGTGGGTCAGAAGTATAGGCAGGTTCCAATGTCAGGGAAGGACAAACAAACCTTCAGACAACGTTGATATATGTCAGGGGTTGAAAGGAACCACCTATGAAGAATGTTCTCAGGAGCTCAGTCATTTTTCTCCTCACCCCTTTGTCAACCAAGCTCAGCTAAGCCACTGAGGTGAAATGTGTGCAGCTCTTTCTAGAGGCTTCTTTGCCTTCCCCAGTTTCATAGCACATATATCATCTGGATAAAAGCCTAGGAACTAAAAGGAAAAGAGAGAGTTGCCACCAAACTCCAAGCTACCTTAACATGCAGGTATAGTTGCCAGTGTCATTAAGGAGGGTGGGCCGGAACCAGAGCACATCTTTCTCCTTACTAATGCGGTTCTCAGGGAGGCGGAAGTTAATTGGTTCCTCAAGGTCCCGGTCCTGCCTAGTCCAGTACCAGATCAGAGTGAGGCCCGCGGAATGGGCTGTACTGTAGTTATATTTCAAGAAGTGTTCAAAGAGTGGGCACTTGATGCGAGCTGGCTCATCTTCAAACACTTGGATCTGCCTCATGGTATCTAGTCCCCAGTCATCACAGCGCTCTGGAACAATTAAAAAGAAGAAGAAAAAAAAGGCAGATGAGTCACGTCATGTTAAAGGCCTCCAGAGAATACACTTTCTCTGCATGATCCCCGATCTTTCCCAGGATCCCCCTTCTCTGGTCATGTTTAATAGCCTCTCTTTAATATTTGCATATAACAGGCACCTGTGGGGTGAAGAAATGACGTCCTCTCATTCTTGACCATTTTTTGACTATCTCTTGAATAACAATTTGATTTGACAGCTTGATCCTGTTGTTCCTGTTGAACCCGATTTGAGGGATAGATCTGAGCTGTCCAATAGCAACATAATCTGAGCCACACACATGCAATTTTAGATGTTCTAGTTGCCACATTAGACAAAGTTTAAAAAAGCAAATAAAATTAATTTTCATATTTTGTTAAACTTGATAGATCCAAAAACATCCCAAATATATTAATGAGCTATTTTGCATTTACATTCTCTTTTTGTACTAAATGTTCAAAATTCAATGTGTTTTACAGTTACAGCACATCTGGGGCCAGTTGTGTGTGTACAGGTACCACGTTAGACAGCAGGAAATCAAGAGGGTGGTTCAGTGATGCTCATTGGGGAACAAAGGTGCTATAGTTTCAATGACTCAGAGTTGAATAAAATTTGCAATGACTTTTAAAATTCATTTTTTATAATGAAAACTAATCGCTATCCATATAGGAAAAAATGATTTTATATATATATAAAATCATTTATATATATATAAATATATATATTTATATATATATATATAATCATTTATATATATATATATATATATATATATATATATATATATATATATAAAATATATGATATATGAATGCAAGGCTCGAGATGTCACCATAGGGAGGTCAGTGATAATGGAGTACTATAAAGCCTAAAACAATAATCTTAAAATAGTTGTCTTTTTCCCTTGTAACCCTAACATGCATACATATGTACGCATATATTTGTGTGTGTGTGTGTGTTACATATTTTTTAACTATGCAATATTCCCTACATTTCAGCTTGAAACTGGAGGACAACCGAGTCCAGGGCTCATGCTGCCTGTGATGCACAGCCAGTAGACCAACATAGGAGTTGGGCTATAGGAAAAGCATTTATTGTCGAAGCACCAGTGATCTGAGAAGGCAGCAGGTTGACACCTTCAAATACTGTCTTAACTACATTTGCAGACCAGATAGGGTATTTAAGGAAATATCTGGGCGTTCCTCCAGAGGCTACTGGCAGTTCCGGGGGTCTGCATGGAGCCTTCCCTCTGGCAACGTGGTTCTCCGGTGTTGGTGGGGGCAACCCAGGAACAATGATGGGAGTAGCCTGGAAAGAATGCTAGGCCACAGAGATTGTGATCAATAAGCCTAAGGGTATTAATCATAAGTTTCAGGGTGATTTTCTAAAACAGGGAACTGGGACAGGGGACATTCCCAGCTTAAGCCACAGGGGGGGTGATCTCCTGTTAAACTATAGGTAGGTCAAGGAAAGGTGAGGCCTCTACTACAAGGGTCCCAATCAGGCCCTGCTTCAAGCTGACATTTACAACTTTTCATCCTAAGTATATCAATTGGAAAGGATATACTTACTGTCATATTGTAAGTAATGACATTTTAAAATAAAATGGTTATACCACTCATTCAATTATATCCAATGGACTAGTGACTTGCCATATACCAATATTCACCTAAAAATATGTAAACAAGCATTCTTTTAACCATTGGTAATTGTATATTGTTCTTTTTTTGTCCTTGAACTTGTATTAATTTCACTATCTCCAGACATAATTTTACTTTAATGAAATATATTATTGTTTTATAGTTTTTTAAAATTTTTCATCATTTTACTTTTCTGTGCATTACATAATACTCTAAGTATTGAAAAGTTTTTCCTTCTGAAATTAATTTTATTATGATTATAATGTATATAATTTAAATAATATATATTTTCAACTTTAAAAGTAAATATTAAATATAACATGTAAAATTATATTGGAAATCATCTCTTGATAATAGTCTGGATGGGCTATTTTTGAATGAGAAGGGTTGGGCATTAGTTCAAAATTTTTATTTATATGAGGAAATTTGTTCACAGCCAAGAACAAAAGGAGTATCATTCTCTCAAGGTTATTCAATTTTTAAAAATTCCTTTGGAGCTATATGTCCCATTAATATTTTTAACATCAAAGTTTATTTTAATGACCTATCACTGACATCTCTAGAAGATGGAGTTTGCAAAACCAGATCTAATTCTCACTTCTCCATTATATCCACGTCCTTCGCAATTTGATGCTATGAGTTTTCTAATCAAGAAGGAGTGTCAGTTTTCCCACACCTTGGATTTGTGCTGTCCTAGTGACTTACATTGACCAACAAAATGCAGCCAATGTGATTTCCTGTCAATTCCAAGCCTAGGACCTACAAACTTTTGCTCTGTCTCTTGTAACCCTGTTATCACCATGAGAACAAGCCCAGTGTTATGGACTATATGTTTGTGTCCCCCCAAAATTCATATGCTGAAGCCCCAATGTGATGGGGTGGGGCCCTTGGGAAGTAATTAGGTCATGAAGGTGGAGACCCTATGATGGGATTACTCTCCTTAGAGGAAGAGAAAGAGTCCTCTCTCTCTCTCTCTCTCTCTCTCTCTCTCTCTCTCTCTGTCTCTTTCTCTCTCTCTCTCTCTTCCATGTGAGGACACAGTAAGAAGTCAGTCCTTGACAAACTAGAAAAAGGGCTCTCACCAGATACCTAATGAGTTGGCACCTTGATCTTGGACATCTCATTCTCCTCACTGTTTGTTGTCTGGCCCACCCAATCTATGGTATTCTGTTATAGAAGCCAGAACTGACTAAGATGCTCAGGAAAGTTTATTAGTAAATAAGAGACCACATGGAGTAGAGCTGAGGCACCCCAGCTGGCAACTAGCTCACCTCAGCAAGCACTGCTGTCTGAAAGGAAGGAAAGAAGGAAGGGGCAATCCATTATGTAATGCGATTGGCAAAGCTGTTCTGTGTCAAACCATCCTAACCATAACTACTTTCTGTTAGGAAACAGTACCCATTTCACTTTTAATTCCAAAAATTGTATTCATATACACTGGCATGATAATCATTCACTTCTGAATTATAAAATCTAGTTTAAAAGATAAACAGAGAGACAAACAATTGGACAGGTGATGGAGTCTGAAACTTCACCATATTAAGTTTGTTGTCTGAATGAAATAAGATGATACTGCCTTCTGTATTTCATAAAACGTATTCTTCATGCTGTTTCTAAAGGCATCTCTCTCAAGAGCTCTAAAAGATTTGCTCAGATTTGGAATATGGTAGAGGCAGGACTGTTAAATGAAAATTATCATCCTTGCTGCAACCCCACTCTGAAATATGTCTCAATTCAGATCACCCCAACTTGGGCCAGTAGACCACAGTTTTAAGGTCATGACTCACTCCTAACAGGGACACTGGTAAATTGGAGAGAAAGAGGAAGCCCTTTTGGAAGGTAATGGTATCTTGATTAAAGGAGACTGTCTGATACCAGTATTACAAATTGTCACTTTATTTGGTCTTGGAGGTCTTTATAGCAGTGGACAATGATTAATAGTAAAATAGATGATAAGTGATAGGTAGATTTTTTTTTTGGTAAAGTAGGAGAATGCTGATTGTAATATGGGAGATGAAAAATGAATGTTCATATGACATCTCAACCACAAGCATGTACTCAAATGGACCAGTTTAGGAAGAAGCAGGAAATGGAATTTTGGTGATCATTAGGGCAGACTGTGGCAGAGGCTGGCTATGTATTCCGTAATCCCATTTTCTCTTCCTTGGGCCATATGAAATCTACATTTCCTTAGTAATTGGGTTGGCCCCATGTGATTTGGTTCTGGCCAAAGAATGTGGTCAGAAATGCTACACAACCTCTAACTCCCAGCAAAATCTTTAGTGCTTTCTCTTTCCTTTACATGGAGACCTTGCAGGCCAGACATTTTTGAAAAATGTAGTATCCAAGGATGGTAGGAGCCTGGTTCCCTGCCATAGCTTAGAGCAGATTCTCAGGAATACCATCTCAGACTCAAGGGGTTGTAACTGAGCAAAAAATAAACCTCTGTTGTGTTAAGCCACTGTGATTTGGGGGATATTTGTTATAGAAACTCGTATTGCCTATCTAGACTAATAAAGGAGGAACACATTTCCCTTCATAAAATAGCTTAATAAATCAAGAGCAGACACTTTTAAAAATAGCATTTGTTAAATAATGGCCCTTGCATACTAAAATTTAAATACAGATCAATAACCAAGATTATTGGTTGATACCACAGGTTTAATCTCTTTTCAACCAAACTGAATACAACACAGTTTAAAGGGGAAAGAAATTACTATAGCTGTTATGTATCTCCCTTACAGAATGTTTCATGGGACAAATGAATTTATCTATAAAGTGAATCGGACTCCTTTACAATAGGGACTGAAGCACACATATTAGTATTCATAAACATTAGCAAACATGGTATTATTATTGAGCTTTTTCTTCAGGGTGTTTGCCCATTTGAATCCAGTTCTTTGAATTTTTAAGTTTCCCTAGCCAGCCACCTGAGGGTATTTTGTCAGAGCTTTTTAAATTATTCAATGAACAAATAAAAACAAAATCTATGGCAACAGACTGGAGTATCACATAATACCAAATTAATTATATGATTCATGGCAAGCACAGGCCAAAGAAAAGACTGGATAAAGGCTGTTACGCAAACAGATTTGTCTCTAATAACAGCAAAGAGGTAATGAATTATTGGCACAGTGAATTTTTTGTTTAAAAGGTCCCTTGTTATCCAGTTTACTCCCCAGTGGAAGTCCTCTCTAAATAGGCCCCTCAACACGGGGAACCACAACGTCACCATTTCCCTCAGCCAAAGGATGTCTTAAGGCTGCAGCTTGGTGGCACAGAGGACTAATGGAAATGTGCAAAGCCAAGTCACCGGCAAATCCAACCCACGCTCCTGA